CACCCAATGGTTCTAAGATGACATGATTTCGCAAAAAGCAATACTGGGAACGAACGTAGTGGCTGTTTGAAAGGGTTTTGGAAGAGAATGGTAGCAATCCACCTCGATTGTATGTGCTGTAAAGGACGACAGAGACAAACAATTAAGGACAGCCAAGGCCATTAGGGTTTAGGGTTTAGGGTTTAGGGTTTAGGGTTTAGGGTGTATTGTCTGCGCAATCCGTCAATTCGGGAACATGTTTTTCCAATTTGAATCTGGTTTTACAGCGTTCATATACGTATACGAACTTATACATGAAGCATATCCGTCACAAAACTAGAGACCAGCGTTGCCCGACTAGAGTCTGGCCCGGGGGGGTGAAGAGTGTAGGTAAACCCTTAGAAGACTTTACAAGTATGGACCCTTAAAAATCCTAAATCTTAAACCTTAAACCCTAAACCCAAGGGTTCCGCCCTGTGGGTTGTATGTGCGGCTGTGAATCAGACAGCTTACCCTATGTAAGGTGGGATGCAATCGTTGGGCATTTTCCAAAACCGGGGCTTCCCAAATATTACCACAAAGCACAGTAACACTGTACTAGGCTCTGGTACCCTGAACGGATGGGTCCATCCTGGTTTCTTCTTATTTTTCTTCGTCGGCTGCAGGGCGTTAGGACAAGACGGTCTTGCTGTGGCTCGAAACCCTGAACCCCAAACCCTAACGCCTTGTCATTGTCTTTTGTGCGCCGGATCTTTTGGGGGCCCGTTGAACAGACTTTGTGGTCAGGGTAGTCGGAAGATGGACCAGTATTCACGCAGGAAGCTGAGGGTTCAACATTGCTGTTTAGGGTGTAGGGTTTAGGGTCTAACTAGGGTTTAGGGTCAAACTTGCAGGTGTTGGCTGGACCTACAGACGGATGGGCCGCAGTCTCGCCCATGCGGCACCTTGTTTTGGGGGTTTAGGGTTTAGGGTTTAGGGTCAGCGGACACCGACATTCTGAAGGCTAAACCCTAACCTTGAGGCAAGTGATCCCGGAGTATCGCATTGCAGCTGTGGCAATGACTTTGAGCCTTGGGCATCCGATGTGCGGGGCCTGCAGGCTGAAGCTGAACCCTAGTTCAGGGTTTAGGCTTTAGGGTTTAGGCTTCAGGGTTTAGGGTTTGGTTTACGTAAGAGAGCCCTCCGGCAAAAAGGGAGTAGGGTTTAGGGTTTTGGGTTCAGATAGACTTTTTGAAAAGGGTTTAGGGCTTAGGGTTCAACCCTACAAAAGCCCAGCGAGAGAAAGATCCCTTAATGAAGGGCATATTTTCTGTGATGCTATATCATGCCATGGTTACATGACATGCTGTGGCTGCAGTAGTAGAGTAATTTGGTAGTATAGTAGTTCAGTAGTATAGTAGTATGGGAACGCAGTATTTCTCGAATATAGGAATGTAGTTATGAAACAATAAAGTAACATACTGACATTGCAATATAGTACTCTGGTAATGTAGTAACTAGTGTAGTACTGTACTAGTAAACTGAAACATCCATGTATCCGTATCCGGTATACTTTGAGTGCCATTCCTCAGTTCATGGGCAGGTGAGATTTTGGTTTGGGGGTTTAGGGTTTAATTAGGGTTCAGGGTTTAGGGTTTGGGGTTTAGGGTTTAGGGTTGACGGCTTCTGCAGCTGTGGTAAGGTTTGACGCTTCAGCCCACTTTGCGCTGTTGAACAACTTCCGGCGAACGCCCTCAACAAAGCTGCAAGTCCTGGAAGGTCCGTTTCTCCCACTACCCTATATAACACATACCCCTTATAAAGCTTAACATGTATATATATATATATATGTGCCATGGACCTTTAGGTATAATGTGATGACTTGCTTTGGGTTTTACTTCAACAGTACTAACAGTTATCAAATGAGTACTTGCGTTTTATATTCTGCATATTGCTACTAGAAAGTAGGTGACATTTTATGGCTTTTGGGCTCATGGTCTAGGGTTGTGCATTCAACGGTTATACAAGGATTGTACGAACAGTCCAGGGTTTATCACCCCTTCCTGTTGTCGAGGAGAAAAGGGGTCGGATAACAGGAGAAGATCAAGGAACCATGGAACTGTGTTACATTCAGTCACTATTCACTTTACACCCTCTCCTCTCTTCCCTTTCTTAGAAGAAAAGGAAAGTGGAAGGAATCATCAAAGAAAAAGTCCGTCTCACTACCTTCATCCACCGTCTCCTCTTTTTTTTTTCTCTCTCTCTCTCTCTCTCTCTCTCTCTCTCTCTCTCTCTCTCTCTCTCTCTCTCTCTCTCTCTCTCTCTCTTGGCTCTTCTTACCGAGGAGAATAATGGCTACATATAAAGCACACATGTCAATCTCAACCCATTCGTCCTCCCTCTTCTGGCTGCTCTCTCACTTCTAGCTTTTGTCTCTTCTTGTTTTGCTTATGGAGGAGAGAATGCATAACACTAGATGAGCGAAGCGCATGGACGGGAAGAGCGAGAAGCAAGTAGTTGTTTGTTGCATAGGGGAGGCCCACTCTCCCCTAGAGCAGGGACGAGTTCCCCCCTGTTCCCTTCCTTTGCCTTCTTTAGTCCCTCCTCTGCGCTCCAACTGTTCTGTTCCGTCTTTTACGGAGAAAGAAGGGGTAAAGAAGAAGGACGAAGACGGTTCCCCTGTCCAATTGTGCATGTTCATTTTATCTACAGGAGTTAGCAAGAGTGTTTAAGCAAGCTAGATAAAGAGAACAACAAGAACAAGGACGAGGAAACCACGGTCAGAATGTACAAGGAAAAACACGAGGAATGAAATCCCATCGCAAAGATAAGTGCCCACACTCAGTCTCACTGCATTCATCCTCTAATCCTCTCTTCTTTCCCTTCTGTGGTTCTCTTCTTGTCCTCCTTCTTCTCTCTGCTCTCTCCCTTCTAGCTTGTGTCTCTTCTTGATTTTCTTGCGCGAGAGAGAATGCATAACACTAGATGAGCGAAGCACATGGACGGGAAGAGGAGAGAGAAGCAAGTAGTTTTTTGTTGCATAAGGAGGCCCACTCTCCCCCTAGGGCAGAGATGAGTTCCCCTGTTCCCTTCCTCTTGCCTTCTTTAATCTCTCCCCTGCGTTCCAAGTTTTCCGTTCCTTCGTTTACGGAGACAGAAAGTTGTATATACAAGGACGAAGACGGTTCCCCTGTCCAGCATGTTTTTTGATCTTCCCATTCAGCGAGAAAGGAACAGACAACAGGGGAAAGCACAAGGAACAAGAGAGTTTAAGCAAGCTAGATAACAACAAGGAAAAGAAAGAGGAAGCCACGAGCAGAATGTACAAGAAAAACACGAGGAAGGAATAAGTGGTGCTCTTCTTGCAGAATGGAGATTTAAGAACACAAGCCAATCTCAGTACATTGATCCTCCCTCTTCTCTCTGCTCTCTCCCTTCTAGCTTTTGTCTCTTCTTGTTTTGCTTGTGGAGGAGAGAATGCATAACGCTAGATGAGCGAAGCACATGGGTGGGAAGAGATAGAGAGGGCAAGTACTTGTTTGTTGCATAAGGGACCTAATTTTCCCCTAGAGCAGGGATGAGTTCCCGTGTTCCCTTCCTTTGGCGTTCTTTGATCCCTCCCCTGCGTTCCAACTTTTCTGTTCATTCTTCTAGGGAGAACAAAGGAAGTAAACCAAAGGACGAAGACGGTTCCCTGTCCTCTTGCGCTTTTTCTTTTGAACTTAATTACCCATTCAACGAGATAAGAACAGACAACAAGAGGAAAACAACATACATGCGACAAACATTTTTTCAGGAGAAGGGAGTCGGATAACAGGTGAAGAACAAGGAAGACATCCATCCTCTCCTCTGCTCTCTTATCTTGCTCTCTTATCTCTCTTCTCTGGCTCTGTTCTTGCCGGAAAGAAAGATGAATGTCCAAGAACCCAAGATCATCTCGTTACCTTCGTCCTCGCTCTCCTCTCTTCTCGCTTTTTCTCTGCTCTGTGTTTTTCTTATGGAGGAGAGAATAGTAAACAGTCTCGCGAAGTCGGATTTGGGGCTGCGTGCGGGGATCTCCCCCCACAAACCCCTCGAAAGAACGAAAGAAAGCGGGCAGCTGTTCGTTGCAAGGGGGGTCTCGGCCCCCCCTAGAGACCTAGTGCAGGCCTGAGTTCCCTGGGCTCGTCTTCCCCTAGAGCGCAGTTGAGTTCCCGTAATGTGTAAGAGGGAATAATTAGTCAGAACATGCCTAACTGATGCCTTGCGACATGGCAGTCGTGCAAAAAAAACGACTGCCACTTCGCAGCCGTGAGGCTCCATGTCCACTTATAAGGCCCTGGGTTTAAAGAAAGGAGGCAGTGCTTTCAGCTACTTCTTGAGCCATGTGAAGCACAATGGCACAGAGGCCAAGCCAGCGCGGAGGCTGGTTGTGAAAACCATGGTGAAGAATGGGCTGGAGGCTTCAGTCACGCGATGGTCCGGGACTTGGCAGATTGTGGACTGTGTGTTAATGTTTGCGCTATCCGGGATGTTACATCCTATCTCGAGAGTTGAAAACAAGGTACCGACAGGGAAGCTGTTTTCAGATTCCCTAAAGTCTCTGGAACTTCAAAATCCACGAGATCTTCAAGTATCTGCGAAAAACTCATATAGATACTGGTATGGCTTCTCAGGCTGAACCATGTATCTCCTACTGCCTCCAGCCTTTGCTTGCCGGTCTTCTCTTCCACCGTTTCTCTTGTCATTCTGTGACTTGTTGTCCGTTTGGTCGTGTGGCGTGAGCGATTCGAGTCAGGTTCAGTCACCTGCTGTAAGGAAATGTTGGCTCGACAGGTCTTGTGGCGGTTTAGCAGTCGCGTCCCACCCATGCAGCCGTGCTGCGTCGCTAAGGAAGTCCATGACAAAGGAAGAGAAGGAAGTGTTCCACGAGCAAGCCCGCGAGAAGCAGCGAAACGCTCAACAGCTCCGACACAACGCCTTGGAGCCTCTTCCAGTCGCCGTGCGCCAGGACGGGGCTCAACCTTAGTAAAAGCAACAAGCCCAACTTCACAATTAGGCACATGTCGGTGGATCAGGAGGAGCAGCAGCCGTGTGAGAACAAGGAGGTCTGGTGGGATGGCCTTCTCTTGCACACCACCGAGCTCTTGGGCTGTGGCAGCTACGGGTCCGTCTTCCGCGCGAAGGGCGAGGACGGATCCTCTTTCGCGGCCAAGTTTTACAAGTCCGGGAAGAACGAGGTTCAGTCAGAGCTTGACGTTTTCCGCATGCTCACTCATCCGAATGTCGTTGTCTGCTACGGCGTGGTCACGACCTCCTCCGAGATTGGCTTGCTCATGGAGATCGGGCAGGGTAGCCTCGGCCAGTACTTGAAGCAGCATCCATTACTTGAGCCTTTGGAGCCCGCAAAGATGCTGCAACGATGGCAGCTGGCAACGCAGCTGGCGAAGGGCCTCCATCACATCCATTCTCGTGGACTTGTCCATGCTGACCCCAAGCCTTCCAATGCCATCATCTTCGCTTCTCCTTCTTTGGCCGCCAAGTGGTCCGACTTGGGGCTGTGCCAGAAAGCCAACGAGAAGGTCTTTGGTGAGAACGTCTTCACCCCGGCCTACAGGGCGCCGGAGTATCTGAGCGGCAAGGTGATACGGCTGACAAAGTCCGCCGATGCGTTTGCTTTCGGCTGTGTTCTGTTTAGCTGCTGTTGTCTCGGAGGCGGCGGTCACCTTTTTGTAGATGTGTCCGTTGTAGGCAACTCGCAGTATGTGCAGGCGCGCTTGAGTGCAGCCGTGCCGCATGATTTTGCTGCTCAAACTATGATCAAGGCTCTGGTCAGTGATGTCGCAGAGAGGGCCACCTTGTTAGATTTCTTGTCTGCAGCAAGCAGGCGCTTGCGATCCTTTTGAGGCTTGCCGAGCTTCATTTGCAGAAGTGTGCGAAGACTTGGAGCCGAAACTGCGAACTGTTTAAGCAGAGTCCTCACGGAAGGCTTGCGACATTTTGGAGCAGTCGCAGCTTTTAGCTGTCACACGTAGACATCGCTGGAACAGGAGTAGCCTGTCGACTATGAGGAAAATGTAGGTCGTGATGGGCTACGGTTTAGGGTCTGGGGTGCAGGGTTTATGGTTAAGGGTTGAGGGTTTAGCGTTAAGGGTTTAGGGTTTAGGGTTCGTCACAAAAAAGGGTTAGGGTCTAGAGTTTAGGGTGGGACCCTGACCTCGCCAAACTTGTTAATCCGGATTCCTGCTGCGAGGACTTAGGTCTTAACGGCTTTCAGGCAGAAGACGGTTCACTCAACTGTCTGGCTTCATTCCATCCAGTTTCCATTCCATCAAGCAAGGTCGTGGGCAAGTAATCCCAACCAATAAGGTTGCTGACAAAATATTCGACCGAAAGGTCATTGACAAATTCTTTCCCTTGAGTAAGGTCAAACCCTCAACCCTAAAACCTCAAACCTAAACCCTTAACCCTTTCGCCTAAACCCTGAACCCTGAACCCTAAACCCCTGTCAGGTTAGTAAAGGTCATTGACATATAAGTTCCACCGACTAACGTCTTTACTCCATCCATTCCTTGTCGTTGACAAGATTACTGAAGCCTTGTAACCCTTAGGCCCAAACCTGTAGTATGTTTGTCCATTCTCTCTGCAAGAACCGGCTTCTGATGTGTGAAGGTCTCTCAGTGGGGCCGGCCAACCATGCGCCCGAACCCAAACCCGCAACCGCACACGCGTCCTCAGATTCTCGCAACACGCTCGATAAACTCGTATTTCGGCAGCTACGCCAGCGCAGAACATGCACCCTGCATCCTAAGCCCTGAACCTAAAACCTAAACCCTCAAACCCTTCAAGCTTAAACCCTATGCCCTAAAGCCTAAAAAACCCTAAACCCTAGGCCTTAAGTCCTACACCCTCAACCCTTATCTTTAATCCTTATAATCCCTAAAGCCTAAAAGCCCTAAACCCCGACTCTGAGCCTCTCAACCTGAAACTCGCGCATGCTGGATCCTCCCGCTCTGCCTGGCGTCGGACTGTGCGCGTGAGGCGCGTGCGTGCGGGAAGGGTTCTGAGGCTTCAGCTTGTGACATGCTGCGTCGCCCGTGTTAGCGAACATGGAGGATAGTATGGTTTGGGGTTTGGGGGTTGGGTTTAGGGTTCAGGGTTCAAGGTTTAGGGTTTAGGGTTTAGGGTTTAGGGTTTAGGGTTTAGGGTTTAGGGTTTAGGGTTTAGGGTTTAGGGTTTGTGTCCGGAGTTTTGGGCGGGTTTTGGGCGAAAGTTTCGGCGGGTTTTGCGGGTTTGGGGCGAAACTTTGAGCGAGTTTTCTTAGGGGCTGGAGTGGGAGCTGGGAGGTGGGAGCTGGGAGCTGGGAGCTGTGGGAGTTGGGCTGGGAGCTGAAAACTGGGAGTTGGGAGCTGGGAGCTGGGAGCTAGGGCTTGGAGGGGTTTGGGAGGGGCTGGGGACTGGAGGGGCTGGAGGCTGGAGGGGGTTTAGGGCTTAGGGTTCAGAGTCTAGGGTTTAGGGTTTAGGGTTTAGGGTTTAGGGTTTGGGGTTTGGGGTTTAGGATCTCGAAAAGGGTTTAGGGTTTAGGATCCAGAAAAGGGTTTAGGATTGATGGTTTAGGGAGCTAGTCCCGCAACCCTAAACCCTACAGTACGCTGGAAGCCCAGATTGCTCGTTCCTTGCGCCAAACGTTACTCAGTCCGCCCTGGACATGGCAGGCGCAGCTCAACCCATCGGCCTTACTCACGGACGGCGGTGCCAGTCGGGACGCTAAGAACCCTAAACCCTAAACCCCTCTGAACCCGAAGTACTCTTTTGGGTCTTCCTATGTAGTTGACTTCGGGCCTGGTGTTTGTAGGGTACCAAGGGGCATATTTGCCAAGTTCCTACATGCTCCTGGCCAAGATTCCCGAACCCCGCAGCCCAGAAATCCCATCCAGATCTTTTCATCGATTCTCGTAAGGTCGTTGACAAATATATCAATGGCATTGACAAACACATCCCATCGTAAAGCAGCAAGAGCATGTTAGAGGCTGTTCTGGGGTCCACTGTCAGAGCTGCGGTTTAGGGTTTAGGGTTGACAGGGTTACGTTTCAGGGTGTCGGGTTTAGGGCGTAATTAGGGTTTCGTTTGGGGTTTGGTGTTTAGGGTTTAGGGTTTAGGGTTCGGGGTTGAGGGTTGAGGGTTTAGGTTGAGGGTTTAGGGCTCAGGGTTGAGGGTTTAGGGTTCAAACCCGAAGCCCTAAACCGCAGCTCTGGCGCATAGGAGACAAGCCCAGTTTCATGACCCCCCCCCCCCCCCCCCCCAAGTGCTGTTAAACTGTTGCCCGAGGCAACGTCCGTTTGAGGTTTAGGGCTTATAGGGTTTGTCCGTTCCTGAAGAGGGGTCATGCTCAAGGGTCAATGAACTGGCTTCTTATTGGCGAATTTGAGCTTTACATACCATGCTCGGTAGAATATAGCACATGCTCTTATGACAAATCCACTTAAATTCCCCAACAAGAAGCCAGACGTTTGGGCCTTCAAGATTGATGCTCCAGCGATGTGGGATTCAGAACTAACGGCCAGGCAGTAGGGACGTGGAAATTGCGGAAGAAGGGTCTAGGGCTGTAACAAGGGCTGAGGGCTGTGTAGCTCTGGCTTTTGGGCTGGGCTTGAGTCCGTCAAGGGCTTGGGAAAAACAAAGGTTAAAAGGTGTAGGTCTGGGGCTCCGGTGGGCTTTGCTCAAAAAACATGGAAACGGTCTTTGGGAAGGCTGATGGCAACCCACCCAGCGCCAGAACCACGCAAGGTCGGCTCTTCGGGTTGCGGTTGGGCTTTGCAGGGTCTAGGATAGAAGCGGAGACGATACTCGTGCACACCCGAAAAGCTGGCAAGAAACACTAACCAGGGAGGGCCAAAGCTTGCACAGACTCTAGACGTTAAGGCCTAGAGCTAAAACGTCACAAGCTCCAAACATCGGAGGTTCGTGCCTGGCCAGCTGCACTGAGATTGGCCGACTTCGGCCTCCTTTAGCTCCTCCGGTTTAGGCTTCCGGGGTAGTTATAGGGTTAGGGCAGAGGTTGAAAGGGATTCGGGTTTGAGGCCGAGGTTTACAGTTGCGGGCTGAGGGTTTAGGGTTTAATGTTAGGGGCCTTCGGGTTTAGGGTTTAGGGTTTAGGGTTTCGGGTTTAGGGTTCAGGGTTTAGGGTGACCATCATCTTCCAGCGTCTCACCTCACGCGCTATGGCTATCAGACACCGAAACAAGCCGACTCTCAGCCAGCCTGAAAAGCCTGTTGCGAACTTCAAAATGACTTGTATTACATTCAATTACACTTCAAACTGCTCGGTCATACACTTCAAATACGATTGACAAGAAGCTCAAGCATAGCAGTGCCATAGCACTCTTCCGAGCCTCCAGTGACCATGACAGAAGAACCCTTTCTCAACGAAGGCCGCCGTGGCAAGCGCAAGCTCAGCAAGCACAACAGCAACCCGCAAAGCATCTGCGTGCAAGCTCAGTTGTGCATCTCTGGCGGTTGGATGAAGAAGCCAATTCCTCTTGATGTTGCGGATTTTGCTGGCACGGACATGGTCAGCGTCCAGTCTACATCCGTGTGGCTTCCTCAAGTCCTCCAGGGGTTTTGCCGTTATCAATCACTCGGCTCCTTGTTGCGGTCGGTGTCTCAAGATCTACAAGCACAAGTTTTGCGAAGCACCGACGAGGCGCAAGAGGCCAAAGCATCCCGAGCCAATGCTTTGCGCGCAGAGCTGTGGGATGAGGACGAGGGGTCGGAGGGCAACGTGGTCGAGGACAGGGTCAAGATCCCGAGCAACCATCGAAGATGTTTGCGGGACCCGTCGAATGTCTGTCATCGTGGCCATAGCTTGACGGTGGCGTGGAGGCGCAACGTCTTCTACGTGGGGGCTACATCCGCGTCCATCGCGGCTTTGGTTGAGGTCTTGCGCTCTTATACCAAGAGCGAGGTTGCCGAGAAGTCGCCCGAGAAGCCGAAGGAAAAGGAGACACGCGTGGAAGATGCCGACGAGGCTGAGGGCTGCGTGGTGTGGCAATTTCCAACAAAGACATGGGTCGTCCGCTACGTTGACGCTGAGGGCAAGAAGCACATGCGCACCAAAGGCTTACATGTTCCAGACAAGGGCTTCGATGGCGCCACTCTCCCCGTCGCAGAGTACAAGCGGATCCGCAACGAAGTTCGCACCAAGGCCATCGCGCTTTGGAACGACCTGGACCAGTCTGAGCGACCTAGGCTCGAAACGTAGGGCGTCTCTTTGTGCATCCTGACACAAGAAGACAGGGTGAAGAGTGTCGGGGCGGAGCACTCGCATGGTCCCGGTCCTGCGCCTGTAAAGAAAGGCGCAGGGCCCTCGCGCAACCCTGCTGTTTGGGAGAGTAAATTTAAGGGTGGCGCTACTAACGTTGAACGTGGCACGATGTCATTCCAGTTTCATTTGAAGTTCATTTGAAGATGATGAGGTGCTGCTTTGAGATGTAATTGAAGTTCGTATCAATTGCATTTGAACTGTTCGCAATCGATGAACGGCACCTTGACTTGCTGCAGCGGCTGTTGCATCATGGGTGTCTTGAGCTGTCTCACGCGTTTTGTACTTTGCGACCTGGCAAGGTAGGCTCTTGTCAAACTGCGATTCCGCAAGTGGATTTGATCGCCATGCTTTTGCTCTGCGACCTCGCAGGTTTAGGTAGGGCAGCACTGCCACATCGCAGGGGCGACAGCGAGCTCATGGCCGACTCTTCTCTCAAGGATGCTGGCAACACACAGGCGCTGCAGGGCGCCGCGTACGTGTTGCGGCACTATTCCCTGGGGGTGACCCGCATACCGCTGCACAATATGGCCTGTGCCAGCTTCAACCGCCACGGTGCTGGCGTTTCCGGGAAGCACTCGCAGAACGTCGTTCGGCGAATCTTCACTGTGGAAGGCCTTCAAGTGTGGCGGTATCGCCATGGGGTGTGCATACAACCACCTGCTTCAGACCCCATGGAGTTCTCTCGCTTTACCAACAATTATGTCCAGAAGCAGAAGGACCTGCTGGCCGCCGTGGCCGAGCGGCCCTTGCCAGGTTGCTTCGCCAAGACGCACTTATGGCACGGGCTCCACACTGCGGCCGTTGGAACCAAGTTCTACCACGACTCGGGCTTGCCTCTGGTGCCAAATGTGGAGGATGAGGAAGTGGCCACAACCATCTCCGAGGGGATGTGGTTTCAGACGCTCAAGTACGAGGCGTACGTCAGCCACAAGAAGGCCATCGAGGCACTCATGACCGGAGACAATCTGGACGCGGCGTACGCCTTAGCGGAAACAGAGATGAGTCTCATCGCCAGCTACTTCAAAAGCTCCCGCATCACCGTGCCCATGCCTGGGCAAACGCAGTTCGACGCCATCTCCGAGTCGCTTTTCCTTGGTAACAACTTTTCGCCAGACCTTCGCGTCGCGGCTTACAACTTTTCGAAGGTGATAGGCGAACCTCAGCTGGAGCTCCTGGTTGACACGTACCAGGCCTACGTCAACCCGACGGAGCAGCTCCTGTCCCACACCATGATGGCATGCCTCACAAAGTTGCCCGAAGCTTTGCTGTGGTCCAAGACGGCCCTTTTCATCGTGAACATGTGCTCCGCCCCGAAATATTTTGGAGTTTCTTTCTTGAAACTTCCTTTGAAGTATGTGCCTCATCAATTGAGAGTTCGTTTGAAAGCTTAGGTGTGCGCCGCCGACACGCATGGTCCGAAGTGGAACAAAGCTCGTGGGCTCCGTGGTGGCCGACTCAGCACTTCGAGGTCTTCTGAAGGCGGACAAACAGCAGCTGGAGTCCATCGAGGCCACCGTCTGCAAGATCATGACCACATACTCCTTGAAGGCTTTGCCGCGTGCCCCGCTGGATTTGCTCCTGAAGGCGAGGGTTCAGTTCTGCTGCAAGTTCGGTGAGGCGCTCGGTGGACTTACCCGCGGCGGGGACACCGTGCCGGAGGACGTCCCGCGGGAGCTGGATATCAACGCGAAGCTTGCTTCCGCTGAGTCCAGGTTGCGGCTTTTGCTGGAGAACTCTGGCTTCAGTCTTCCCGCTCGGGTGCTTGGAAGCATCCAAGTAAAGTGTCAAAACCACTGCAGGCGTTTGTGTGTTGTACCTGAGCAGTCTCACTTGTCCTTTCAGGTGCTTAGTGAGAAGGTGGACAACAAGGGCAGCGCCAAGTCCAGACAGGCTGCTTCCAGCAAGGCACAGGCCGACTGTCTACCAGCGCTGGCGACGTGTGATGGTCAGGTCGTGAGGAATGCAGCTGCAGACGCCCGTCGCATGGGCCTGACTGGTGGCTGTTCCGTCCTCGTGGGGTCCGAGAAAATGGTGGCAGTTTTCGTGCAGCTGTCGGGGGAGGGCGCTCAAGTGAAGTTCCTGGACGCTAGTGGCCAGGAGCAGGTCCAGGACGTACCGCTGGCAGATCTTGAAGTCCTGAAGCCGGAGGACAAGAAGAAGGTCCAGGCTGTGAAGCTAGTTGACACACGTCAGCCAGGCATTGAGTGGCATGCGCTGACAGATGTCCAGGTTGAGCAAGGCATCCGCGATTTTGTGAAGTCCGAGCTGCTGCACTTGCAAGGGTCTCTTTGTCCCCCAAAGGAGTTGTTGCGGTATCATCGTGAGGCAGACGGTGATCACTTCTCTTTGAACTACGCAGTGAAAGCTGGAAGTCTTGTGTTTCTTCCTTTCACCCAGGCATTGTCGGAAGGACAGCGTGGTGTGAAGCGCCGCAAAAGTGGGAAGTCGCAAGAGGGCGCAGAATATCCCCTCCTGCGAGTCAAGAAGACTGACATCAAGGGAGCTGAGCCCATGTATTTTACACTGGAGCCCTCGGCAGGTCCGTTTTGGCAATTCTTCCTGGAGGACGGTCACCAAGGCCAGGATGTCCCGAATCTCACGTACAGGATCATGAAAACCCAGGCCACGCAAAGCGGGTCTGCGCAGTTTAGCATCCAGGGCAAGATGATCAAGAAAACCTCGAAAATGTCACTTGAGCTTTGTTTTCCTGTTTTGACAAACCTGGAAGACTTGCCCGCCTACACGATTTTGCGGGCTTGCTGTGCTGGGCCTCCCAACGTCAAAGACGCATGATGTGAAGTACAGAGGCGGACCTGCGGCCGCAAGTTCTGACAGAAGCACATGAAGAGGACAGCGGACGAAAAATCAACTCTTTATGAAGTTCATTTGAAGTTTATTTGAAGTTCATCATGTTGTGAGTTTGAGCATGTTTGAAGTTACTTTGAACTTCATTTGAAGTGACAAGCCTGGAAGACTTGCCCGCTGGTTGCAGCATCACCAAGCAGAGAGATGCCTTCCTTAGTTTCCGCCATTCTAGGTAGTTTCGCTGCTGCGCGGCCGCCGCCGCGCCGAGCCGGCGAGACTTTCGACGAGCAGCTCTCGCGAGCCTTTGGTGACTCCGAGGAGTCTCAAGGGTCACGGCAGCGTGGCCGCTACAAAACGTCTGCCACAGTGGCGCAGAGGAGGGAATGGTTGAAAGCTCTGCAAACCCTGCGGGAGCAAAGGCAAGCTGCAGGCCACCAAGGCCTTGGGCCTGCGTTGAGTGAGTTCATCTGGCGTGAATGGCCAGCCACCAGAGAGAATCGGCAAGAATATGAACGTGTCCGTAAAATGTGCTACAACCTGCTGAATGAGGAAACATGGCGACGCCTGTCCACGCCAAAGGCGTTGGCCAGTCAAGGCAGTGACCGGAAGAGACGCAGGGTGTGTGGCGGAGGTCGGCGGCCTTTAGCTGAAGATGTCAGCTTTGAGTTGTACCAGTGGTTTATTGACACCGCAACTAGCATGCAGCTATCCAGAGTCGGTTCTGCTGAGATGTGTCTGAAGTACATGCAGCGGGGAGGTGTTCTCTAAACCCTAAACTTTAAACCCTATAAACCCTAAACCCTCAAGGCCAGGAGAGATAGAAATTGTATGTGATTCATTACAGCAGCTCGTACAATAATCCTGCCCCTCCAGCCCCAGCCCCTCCAGCCCTCCAGCCAGCCTCCAGGCCAAGCCTCATGCCCTCCAGCCCTCCAGCCCCTCCAACCCCTCCAGCCCCTCCAGCCCTCCAGCCCCTCCAACTTTCCAGCCCCTCCAGCCCCCCAGCCACCCCAAAAGCAAATAAGAAAACTCGCTCAAAACTTTCGCCCAGAACCCGCCCCAAAACTTTCGCCCAAAACCCGGCCAAAACTCCGGACACAAACCCTATACATTTCTAAGAACCTTGAACCCTAAACCCTAAACCATCAGGTACAGAACATCAAGGGCCGTGTGACGAGCCGCATGCTGGAACTCCAGGCCAAAGTCATCCTGCAAGACTTACAAGAAGTGCTACAGCTTCGACGCGAGGCTGGGGAGTGGGATGGCGGAATCGACGCTTTCCCGAAGATCGATCTGAACTGGGTCGCACGTTGGCGCAAGAGGCAGCGCGTCAGTTGGCGCTGCAAGACTGTGTGCTACAAAGTCAGCAGAGCTAAGCTCAAGGCTCGCCTCGGCGTACTCTGGCGGAACTGCATACGACTTCTGGCGCTGCATAGGCATTTTTTCGGCCCTGACCGCCTCAGATTTCGATCCTACGATCAAAAACCGATGTGGTTTAACTCCGTCGGGTCCTCAAAAACCCTGGCTGTGAAAGGTGCAAAAGATGTTGCGGTCAGAGAAAATTTTCATGCAACAAGATGCCGGTTCACCGCGATGACAAAAAGTGTCGACAAGGTGGCGTCCGAGACCATGCAAGATGTGCGTGCCAGATCGTCAAACACTGGCGACCCCAGGTCTATCGCCATTCTGTTCAAGGCTGATGAGGGCAGTCGCGTGAAAGCCGCCTTGGAGGTGCCAGAGGCCACCTTGGTGCAGACCGCGCCGAAGGGCAGCTACCGGGTGCCACAAGTGCTGGAGTTCTTGAAGTGGGACTTAGGCAAGCCAGGACGTGATGATGGCAGCCAGTGCGAGGTGGTGGTCCTGGACTGGTTCTCTGCCCACTTGGATCCAGAAGTCGATGCTCTCATCAAGGCCTGCTGTTTGACTGAGGACTTTCTTTGAGGTTCATTTGAATACTATTTGAGGTACAAGTGAAGTCTTAAAGTTGTGATTTGAGCTACATCTGAAGTTTTTTTCTATGTGTTTGAAGTTTTGAACAAAGTTCCAGCCCGTGCAGGAAAGGGGCCACGTCCCGCTGAAGTTGGGGGGCGGCTCGACGCCGTGGGTGGCTGTGTTAGACACTCATTGCCACGCAGCCTTTCAGAAGAACTACGAAGCGGCCGAGCAACATGATGCCGCTGTGCAGTTGAGATGCGGACGCACGCTTCCATGCACATCACGACAAACAGTCCTGACCAGGGCCGTGGCTTGCTGGAGAGACTTGAACCATGCGCGGTTTTCAGAAGTCGGCTGGAAGGCTGATGGCTTCACACTGGCCCTGGACGGCAGCGAAGACAGCTGCATCTCCAGGGTGTGCCGCCCGTTCTGGGAGGAGCTCGAGATGCCGCAAGTACGTGAACAACTTTTGCTAGAGGTTGCAGAGGCTGTTGAAAGTGGGCAAATCCGCAGCTGGTGGCAGTACTCAGAGCTTCTGGAGGACTACGACGCACACGAGGGTCTTCAGGAAGGCCTCGAGTGCAACCCGGAGGCTTTGCTTGAGGAGCACGAGGACGCCGAAGCAGAGGATGGTGCCGCGACTCCGCAAAACATGTCTGACGAGGAGCTTCCCGAGGAGAGCGTTGCAGTTCCATTGCAAGTGGACCCGGTCTCAGAGGCAAGCGCCCAGATTGCCACAGAGAACGACGGGTCTCACATGGAGGCCTTGCTGTCAATGCGAGAGCAGGCCAAAGCAGTAGAGGACATGGCCACGATCCGCTTCCTCGACCAGCGCATTGCAGATGTGTCGAAGCTGCAGTCACGTCCAAGCTCTGGCATAAGCGTTCATCTCCGACAGAAGGCCATCGAGAGAAAGCAACAGGAGGCGGCTGCGCGGTGTCAACAAGAAGCTGAACGCCAGCCCCTTCGTGCACTGCAGCAAGAAGAACGGACTGCCAAAATGAAGCTAGAGGCAGCTAAAGCAGAGAAATCTGTGGCACAAGCTTCTGCTCAGCAGAAACTGGAGGAAGCTCGTGCTGCTCGAGAAGCGTTGCAGGCAGCTGCAAAGCAAGCTGCTGAAGAAGAGCGTCTTTGTCGGTTGCATTTTGCTGCCAGACTGGCGAATCACGCCCTGTACTTTGCCAAGTGGAAGCCTTGCCAAGACGAGTTGCGTAAGCTGGAGACACTCCTTGCCCGAGCATGTGCCGAAAAGCAGGGAGAGAAGACGCTGCCAGTCCCTTGCTTCTGGGAGAGATGCCGCCGGGGTCTGAGTTGACCAGGTTCCCTCACTCACAGATTGCTGCCTTCACGTTGGGGTGCTCTGGGGCGGGTACCAAGCATGTCTTTGTGTTGCAATCGCAGGGCATGCTCCTGGTCAAGTGCAACTGTCCGTGCTTCTAGTTTAGGAGTCTGCGCGTAGTTGTAAGGTCTCAGAAGTATCGTGAGATCTTGTTGCTTCTTCCTAAAACAGAGGGTACATGTGGTGGGCTTCGGACTTTCCCAAAAAATCAAATCCATTGAGCCCTCTATATCTTCCACCTGACCCCTCCGACCTAGGCAAGGAGATGGTGGCTGTGAACCCTGCTGCCAACAGGGGCGACCAGCGGGCCTATGCTTCCCAGAACTTTGCGTGGCGCCTGTTGGGGAAAACCCCAGAACAAGCAACTCCGCTTGATGCGGCTCCGTCCGTGCTTTTGTCCAGATTGCTGGAGCACACGTGCCCTGGATACGGGGCTGTGCTTGGCAAACGTTATGGGGCGAAACAGCTCTTGATCGAGCAAGAATGGATTGCAGACTTGGCATTTCTAGCTGGAGTGTACAGGTACAGCCGGATCGCTGGGGATGCTTACCCATGCGGCTTGCACACCTGGCCTTGTACAGCCGCCTGGTGGACCAGAGCCCCGAAGTGAAAGAAACATGGGCTCCTTGTGCCTTGTGTCGTGATTGTAGAACCATTCAGCCCCATAAGGGCCCCCAGGGCTCGCCCGGGACTTAGGGTTGAAGGTCAGGGTTTAGGGTTTAAGGGTAGAAAGGGGACATGTGACTGATATTAGGGTGCTAGGGTTTTTTGATCTCAGATCTTGGGGCTGAAGCGATTGAGATGACCTTCAATGTAGCTTCCCGAAGATGGCACCCAGATTATCCCGAGCTTTTGCCAAGCTAGTTTAGCTGCTCTAATCGCTTTGGTTCTCTGGCCGGATCCCTGTGGAGCGCCTTGGAGAATATTTCAGGCCTGCCATCTGGCAAGCAAAAAACTTGAGAACATCGCGAGATCGCAGACCCCAATAATTCAGCATAGTCTAATAATACCCCTTTTCACATTATTCCTCAGTTTTGCCTTCATCCCTCCCCAACTTTTCTGAGCAAAACGCACAAGAAAACACGAGGAGGGAATAACAGATGACAAAGATAAGTGCCCACACCCAGTCTCACTGCATGCATCCTCTAATCCTCTCTTCTTTCTCTTCTGTGGTTCTCTTCTTGCAGAATGAAAATTTAAGAACACAAACCAATTTCACTACATTCATCCTCCCTCTTCCCTCTGCTCTCTCCCTTCTAGCTTTTGTCTCTTCTTGTTTTCTTGCCGAAGAGAGAATGCATAGCACTAGATGAGCGAAGCACATGGACGAGAAGAGAGAGAAGCAAGTACTTGTTTGTTCTGAGTTCCTCTGTTCCCTTCCTTTGCATTCTTTAGTCCTTCCCCTCCGTTCCAACTTTTCTGTTCCTTCTTTCTTAAGAAGGTAAATACAAGGACGAAGACGGTTCCCCTGTCCACTTGCGCATGTTCTTTTGGTCTACCCATTCAGCTAGAAAGGAACAGACAACAGGGGGAAACACAAGGAACTAACAAGAGTGTCTGGTGCTTGACCGCACCCTGGTCCCTTGCTCTCAAAGGGCTACTGTATACTTTGCACACAAACTCCAACATCGAACCTCAAGGCTTTATGGCCTTTCTGACGCGGGCACATACGCATGAAACTTCTTCAGCTTCGGGAAGTTTACTCGCTTAACCAACTTCCCGTACTCACAGTACGCAGTTTGTCGAAGCAAAGGTGCTCGCAGGGGTATTTTCATCTTCGTATAGCCGTCCGCACTGTGAGCGTGATAGAACCCAATCTTGCCACCCGGCCCGAGTCGCACGTGCGATGGTCTCCGCTGTTTGGTCAAGCCACCACAAACGCCACGCTTGTTGCAAAGGTCCAAAGCCGCCTGCCTGGCAGAGAAGTGTTCATCTTTGGTACCCTCGCAGAATTTCGTCATGCAGTTCGCAATGGCATCTTCCAACGCATCAAAAGATTGAAACTGACCACGTCGACAAAAGGACTCGGCAGCGCGAAGCACCCCAGGCAGATTAACAGTGGTGATCCCTGTTTGTCTGTACGCTTTAGATCTCCGCGAGCTCAAGATGATGTTCGTGAACTCCTTCTTGTCTTTGGCTTTCAGCAACTTCATTGCAACCCCCCTGGGACTTTGCATGTATCTGACGGCAAAACAAATCGCGACAGACCAATAATCAGAACGAGCTTGTTTGACCACATCTTGTAGCTCCAGTGAAACAGCGTCTCTGAATCTGTCGATGTGACAGAAGCGGGTTGTGACATGGCTTCAAGGATCTCATTCAGCTTCGGAATGCTGTAGAACCTTTGTGGCAGGCATGCCTTTCCCAACCAAGGTCTTGGATGGCCCTGCTCTCTGCCAGAGTGTAGCTTGCGCAAAAGATATTCGAAGTCTTCGATGCACAGCCCAATGCCACGCCAAGTCCTGTGACGGCTTATTTGTGGCAGGAAACGACCATTGCAAGAGCCCGAACGTTTCTTCATTCCACCCACGCCAGAACAGCCACCCTGTCTTGCGCCGTTTATAACTTTCCCGTGGGAACACTTCTTGCACAGACCTCGTCGTGACAGATTGTAAACGCCAGCGCGACGTACACCCTGGAGTCCACAGCTCTTGCATGTTGTCCATTGCGCATACGGCATTGTTTCTTAACGCCCAGAAAGAGAAGTCACGGTAGTTAAAACAGCTACAATACAGGCAGTGCAAAGCGAGGGTATGGCTGGGGTGTTGTATTGTGAGGCGACGTCTTAAAAAAGGGGCCGTTGTGTTACATGCAACATCCGAAGACCATCAAGACTGCGACTCACGCCTTGTGCTGAAACTTTCGGCCGTTACGTTTGGGCTCTGCGAGACTGAGCCAAGAGAAACTGTAGCGACTGTGTACATCCTCAACAAGCCTTAAAACCTACCGTAGCTCTTTCCCACAAGGATCCCTGCCCCTCTTTGCAACAAATGCTGCTTCAGGCAGCAAAGCTTTGCGCTTTGTCTCTTTGGAGGGGAACTTAGACACAAAGTCCTAGGGACCAGGGCCTGCAGTTTGTTTCTAGAACTGAGACCAGAAATCTTAGGGGCCAGGGCTTGCGATTTGTCTCTTTGGAGGAGAACTGAGACCAGACATCTTAGGGACCAGGGCTTGCGTCGCTTTGAGAAGAGCTGAGACCAAAACTCTTGGGGACCAGGGCTTGCGATTTGACTTTTGGAGCAAATATTGACCCCAAAATCTTAGAGACCAGGGCTTATGATTTGACTCTTTGGAAATTTGAACCCAACATCTTAGGGACCAGGGCTTGCGATTTGACTCTTTGGAGCAAATATTGAACCCAAAATCTTAGGGACCAGGGCTTGCGATTTATCTCTTTGGTCAATCGAAAAATCTTAGGGCTAGGGCTTGCGATTTGACCCTTTGGATTAAAAGTTGAACCCACTATCTCAGACCCTTTGGAGGAAAAACCCAACACTTTAGGGTCCAGGGCTTGCGAAGCAAGCTAGATAACAACAAGAAAAAGAAAGAGGAAGCCACGAGCAGAATGTACAAGAAACACACAAGGAAGGAATAACAAATGATAAAGATAAGCGCCCTTTCTCAGTCTCACTGCATTCATCCTCCATGCGGTTCTCTTGTTACAGAATGAAGATTTAAGAACACAAACCAATCTCACCACATTCATCCTCCCTCTTCTCTCTGCTCTCTCCCTTCTAGCTGTTGTCTCGTCCTGTTTTTCTTATGGAGGAGAGAATGCATAACATTAGATGAGCGACGCGCATGGACGGGAAGAGAGAGAAGCAAGTACTTGTTTGTTGCAGACGGTAGCCCTACTCTCCCCTAGGGCAGGGATGAGTTCCCCTGTTCCCGTCCTTTTGCCTTCTTTAATCTCTCCCCTGCGTTCCAACTTTTCCGTTCCTTCGTTTAAGGAGAAAGAAGGGGGTATATACAAGGACGAAGACGGTTCCCCTGTGCCCCTGTCCAGCATGAGCTTTTGATCTTCCCATTCAGCGAGAAAGGAACAGACGATAAGAGGAAAACAACAAACCTTTGACTAACCTGCGGTTCTTTCAGGAGAAGAAGGAGTCGGATAACAGGAGAAGAACAAGGAAGAGGTAAACGTGCAAATATGTCACTCTTCTATTTACACACTCTCCTCATCTCTCCTTTCTTCCCTTTCTTGCCTGTTGGAGAAGAAATGAGGAAGAAAATAAACCAAGAACTAATGGGGAGACGCCCTGATTCATTCTCACCGCCTTCATCCATCCTCTCCTCTGCTCTCTTATCTTGCTCTCTTATCTCTCTTCTCGGGCTCTGTTCTTGCCGGAAAGCAAGATGAATGTCCAAGAACCCAAGATCATCTCGTTACCTTCGTCCTCGCTCTCATCTCTTCTCGCTTTTTCTCTGCTCTTTGCTTTTCTTACGGAGGAGAGAATTGCAAACAGTCTCGCGGAGTCGGATTTGGGGCTGCACGCGTGCGCGTGAGGGTCTCCCCCCACAAACACCTCAACGAAAGAAAGAACGAAAGAAAGAACGAAAGAAAGAACGAAAGAAAGAACGAAAGAAAGAACGAAAGAAAGAACGAAAGAAAGAACGAAAGAAAGAAGAAAGACAAAAAAAGAAAGAAGGAAAGCACAAAGAAAAACAAACAAGGAAAGCAGGCAGCTGCTCGTTGCAAAGGGGGTCTCGGCTCCCCCTAGTGCAGGCCTGAGTTCCCTTGTTCCCTCCATTTTGTCACATGGACGAGAAGGGAGAGAAGCAGGCAGTTGTGTTGCAAAAAGTGGCCCCTCCCAGGGCTGAGTTCCCCTGTTCCCTCCAGTTTGTCTGCAATCCACCCCCCCTGAGTTCCAACAGTTCTGTTCAGATAGGACAAAACGGCTCCCCTGTTCATTTGTGCGCAGCGAGAAGGAACAGACAACAAGAGGAATACACCAAGGAATGAACAAAAGTGTTTT